TGTAAGACTATTTTCCTTTTGTGTCATTGTTTGTGTGTCCTTAGTTTTTAAAGGGGGAGATAAATATCTAAGAAGCATCGCTTGTAAACTTGATGTAATCCATCCTGCACATATGGACCAAACTAATCTTAGGAAGCACAGCTTTCATCATGTCACTCCCCTTCTGAAAAACCTCCCTAGCTTCACTGTGAGCAAATAACATTTCAATTTCTTTGCTTGACCTTGAAGACTTTCCAAAGCATGGCCTTAATCAAGTTTCCCCCACTACTCTGAAACTTTAACTCTCAGCTCTTCCATGGCTGGCCTATTGCTCTTCTCTAGGTATGCCTGATTCCTTTCTACTTCCCTATCTGTGTTCACTCTGCGATCTCTACTAGGAATGCCTCAATCCATCTGAATCCTATTCACCTTTCCAGGTACCATTCAACTCAAATCCCACCACTTTTCTGAAATCCTACTCTGAGCCACATTTATATTTTACTTGTAGTAAGTTATAGTAATTTCTCTCCAACAGATTCCATGTAGGCCATAAATTAGATTTTGAAGATTTTATTAATTAATTTTAAAAAAAATTTGAAGAGCATCTGTTATACGGGGCACAAGGACATAAAGTTGAATAAGAGGCTTTCCCTACCCTGGAAGTTCTCACAGAAATAGCTGACAACTGGCACCATACCCCCTTGCCCTCACACATCTACCCCTCTTGGCTGCTTGCAAAAAACTTACCTCATTGTCAGCATCACATATGCAGACACACACGCACCCAAACACTCACCCACACACATACACACACATTCCCCAGCCCCAGGCCTCTAGGATCATGAAACTCAAGGGCTTTCAAAGGCTGTTTATTCCCAAGAAAGGATTAGAAACTCTCTTACAGTTCTCTATATTGCCTGCTACATAATGTTCCACTTAATTTTATGCAGTTTTCTATCATTTTCTAACTTTCCATGAGTATGTATCTAATCTAGTCAATCAAATTATTACTTATAGAGTAACTTATTAAATTCTTTATGGTATGTAAAACAATACTATTCACATATGGTCAATACATCTTTTTCATTGATTGATATAATTCTTGATGTTTAAATATAAGGTGAATTATTACTTAGAACATGTATTACATATGTCTGAGTCATTTACTTTCCAGAATCTCTCATACTCATTGGTTTCATTCTCAATACCCTCTCCATATTCCCTATGCATTAAAAAAATTAGGTGATAGACAGATAGATAGATAGATAGATAGATAGATAGATAGATAGATGATATCCCTTTTGAGTAATAACTGGTTAGCATAGAGCCATGAACATAAAAAATAATGGAACATAATTTTATTTGGAGCACAAGATTCTAATTTAAACATAATATATAGACCTTAACAAGTCATTAACTTCTGTCAGAGTCTATGCAAAGGGATTTTTAATAATAACACCTCTCATAATGTTTCCAAGTGCGATCCGCAACCATCTCCATCAGAAGCGCTTGGGGCCATCATTAAATATGCATATTTGTGGGCTCTACCCACAAATCAGTATCTCTGAGGGTGGAGCTGAGGAATCTACAGATATACCAAGCAATTGCTGACTCTTATGGGTACTACATTACATTATACATGTTTATACTTTTACATTCTATAAAAGACATTTATTTTCTCTTTACAATATCTGGAAGAGGAGCTGTGTGAACATCACTTCCAGATGCACTTCATCGAAAGAGAGAAGCTATACGATATGTTCCAGATCACATAGCACAGTGCCAAGTATTCATTTATTCATTCATTCAGCATTTATTTATTGAGTGCTTAGAAAGTGCCAGGCTCTGTTCTAGGCAATGAGATACCACAGTGAGCAAGCAAAGACCATGGTCTTATGAGGCTTATGCCCTCCTGGTGCCCCTTTTAGGCAGCCAGGTAAACATTACACAGGAGTGAATGAGATACAGCCAGGCCTCCAGACTCTTAGTTGACTGTTTTCTCACTCCACCAAATGGTCTATTCACTACAGTGCAACATATCATATCAATAGCAAGCATAAGCAAGATGCAAATACAATAAAAATCAGGCTTCATTCTTCAGGCAGCATGGAGAGTGGCTATAGTACAGAAGGTACTATATATAGCTAGAAGATGTAAAGCAGACTGGGTTCAAAGTATGGCTTTAACATTTTACATACCTGGGCACCCTGTACAAGTTACCTAAGCCCTTAAGCTTCAGTTACAAAATTTATCAATACCTACACCTGGAAGGATCAATGTAAGAATGAAAACATAAAACCATACGGAAAACATCAAGCATGGGTCTAGCACAGTGTAGGTACTCAACGTCAGTTCTCTTTTCTCCGTCATCAAATCTGAATTTTATCCAACAATACCACAGCATTACCTAAAAGGCTAGATTTTAGATTTAGTTGGAGGTAACTGTAACTAGTTTGCTTAAATCTCATCATAAAGACTACTTTCATAGATTTTATCCTATATTACACATTTAGCTGATGCCCCTTTGGGATAAAAATAATATTATGAGTCCACCATAGAAAAACCATGCATTTTGAGTTTTCTCATCATAATAATAGTCTATACTTTGGGAACATCACTCATTTTCCAGGCAGAAATATATTAGATCATCACTAAAAATATGTATATATGATAATGTATCTTTCCGCCTCTTCAAACTCTTAACTAATATAGTAGGTCCATAAACAATAAGTTCCCTGCATCTCCAACCTCACTCTTCCCCTTCTTTGCTAGCTCACAATAATCCAATGAGACTAGCTCCTCAAACCCACCAGACTCTCCAGCATTTAGATGTCATGCATGGTGTTGCCCTAGAGTCACCAGGTTAGTGCTTAACTGCATCCCACCTTAAATATCTGGCCCTCAGAGAAGCCTTTCCTGACCAACCATCCTGACAACATTAGGCTGCACTGAATAGGGTGAGGAAGCCTGGGTTCCAATCAGTCATCTGACAACATGGAGTTATGCTACAGCACAAATACACAGCTGGTCAGGTAGATAAAACTTCATATGCAACATGATATAACTGGCAACAGTGCATCTCTGCATTAGCTGGTTAAAAATATCAGTCAGGGCTCTCAGAAGTGATCCCTCCTGTGGAACTTCTGCTGAGAGGCTTGGTGAACTGTCATATACTGCTGGTATCAGGGGGAAACAACTCCTTAAAGGGGGATTCCCAGCATGGGCTGATTCTCTTCAGGCTGCTTTTATCCTTTGCTGTCAAACCACATTTTGCAGAATCTCTGGAAGTATTAAAATGGCCTGAGGCACACTGTTATATACGTCAGTAGTATCCTGTACTCTTCTTTAGAGCTCTTTTTACTTGTTTAATATTTCTTTTCTGTTAATGTTTGTCTTCTCCATTTAAGGACCGTGCCTACCTGTTGCCTGTTTAATTCCCAGTACCTGCCATAGTAGCCAGCATACAGAGGATTCCCTCTGTATATGTACAATAACCATTCATTGGGTGGATGAATTGAGAAGTGAGAGATGTGTCCACGTGAAAGAAGCCGAGTTTATTTAATGTAAGACACGTGAAGTACCTAAAATAATGCTTGGCACATAGTAAGCATGCAATTAGTGTTGTTGTTATTTGTTAACCAGAACAAAAATCTCCTGAGGATAATACAAGAGGCGAGTTACTGACTGATAAATAATATGGTTGAGCACACGCTGTGTGGTTATCCCTGTCAGAATATAGCGCAGTGTACTAAAGGAGTAAGTTTTCACCTCATCTGCCTCAGGTGTTTTTGAGTTAATTCATTTTACTATTTGAATATACAAATTTATATATCTTATCTTATGAGAAAAGATATCTCATATTTTTTCACATATTCACAATTGAGTACAATGCTATTAAATAAAACCACCCACTCACAAAAATAATGTCTTGACCATATAAGTATCTCTATGGGAAAGAGCAAAGAGATATATCCATGCTTCATTCTCTCAATGGATAGAAAGAAAATTGGTACCCTTGAATATTGTAAGGAAAAGCCACACACATTCTTTCTAAGACTTGTGAAAATGAAACAAAGAAAGTACAAAAGACCATATATTTTAAGTCACTGAAATCCCAACACCTACTCTAAAATAATAAAAAGAAGTAAAATCTGTAAAAAAAAAAAAAACAAAAAAAAAACGACTTGAGGTCATTCTGCCTCATTTTATCCCAACACTGCAGCAATATTCCCTGAAGAATTAACTGAAGAAAGTGGTTCAGGGAAGGAATACCTACTGGAAAAAGTTTTTTAAGGTTATCAATCTAATTTGTTTTGGAAGTGGATTTTTTTAGTATTTTTATTTACTAAGCTTTCACACTTTTTTTTTACTTTATTTAACGGCATGTTTAGTTTTCCCCAAGAGTCCATTTTCTAAGAGTCTTTGATCTAACCATCCACATTTTGGTCGTCTATATACTTTTTGGGAACTTCCTATCACCAATGGAGAAGGAATGTGGTTATAAAATCAAATAATTCTTTCACTGTCAGAATCTAATGCATTAACAATCAGACACAACTATGTCCGAGCATTAAGTAACAAATTTTAAAATAAACAACGACTTATAATACTCCAGAGGGAAAAAGAAACCCTCCACTATGTATATACATCAAATGAAAGTACTCTGGTAGAAATGGACATCCGCGGACTAGTCTAGTCAGCCATTCTACTTCACACGAGGAATATTCCTAAGTCACACAAAGGTGCCTTTACCAAGCTTGAATGATATAATACATATGGAAAATGTGTTCTCCACTTGATCTATTGCTTCTTGCTAAAAAGGTTGTTCTTTTCCATGGGGCCATAATGACATTAAGCCTCAAGTACATTCATAATAAACATTTCCATTTTTAACATCATTCACTTTCCGTGGTTTTTTCCTAAAATTAACTCATGTTTAAGCCTATGGGGTTAGTAAAGATGAAAATCTCTTTGGAATAAATAGGGGGAAAAATATGAATATTCTAAAGTAGGATACCTACCTCAGGCCCTGTGATGTGCATCAGACCAGAAATAGCAGAGGCAACAGCATCGTACCCAGCTCGCTGAGACAGTGGACCTGTCTGACCATACCCTAAGACAACAAGAACAGACATATTCAGCACCACCCAGGGAGAGCAACAGTACAATAGTGTGTTAAAACCATCTGCATCCAGAAATCCTACAGCATTTTGTTACTATTAGGTCTATACTATCCCTTGAAGGAGGCTGTAAAATTTAATTATGGTGTCATACCCCAGAAGGTTGCAAACTGGTGACTCGTGGGCCAGATCCCCATTGTACAAATGTTTTGTCTGGCCTGAAGAGTGTTTTGAAATGTTTTTACTTAGTTTCCAACATTTAAAGATCAGGAGATAGCACATAATATACAAATTTCTGGCTTTTCTTGAAAAACCAGAAAATACATTCAAAACTCGGCTCACATCCTCACATGGCAATAATCAATTAGAGTTGAGTAATAGTTCTTCCCTTTACACAGGGCATAAATTCTCCAATTTGCCGCACTCTACACCCCTCCTTAATCCTTTATGCTTCAGTCTGATTCAATCATTAACTGACCTTCCAGACTCCAATAGGTACTTGCTACTCCTGCTGTATACAAAACAATATACAAAGTAAAACAAAACAATGTCTCCTTAGGTTCTATTTACATATTTTTTCAAGTATGCAAAGAAAATATAAATGATAATTTAAAATTTGAACATAAATAGAATTAATACATCTCCTGCCAGTGCTTTTTAGGATTACAAAGAGAAGGTGAAGGTGTCACTTTTTGTTGCCATCAGCAAAAATTAAAAGAACACAAAGGGACTTCCCTGGTGGTCCAGTGGTTAAGACTCCATATTCCCAATGTAGGGGGCCCAGGTTCAATCCCTGGTCAGGGAACTAGATCCCGCATGCCGCAACAAAGACCCAGCGCAGCCAAATAAATAAATAAATATTTTTAAAAGAAAAGAAAAGAAAAGAACATAAAAATATTTTATCCTGCTCTCCTCAGTCCTGGTGCTTACTGTTGGATATTAAAGGTTATATGAGGAGCTACATAACTCTGTCTCCAAATCCCATATATTTTGCTTGCTTCTCCAGCAACCTGGAACACTCTATTTCACTCCATATATGTACATACCTCACTCCCTCACATCCTCCAACTCTGCACTGAAATGTCTCCTTATTAGAGAGGTCTTCCCTGAAGAACTTTTATGAAAGGTCACTCTCACTTTTCACTCTTAAGCCCCCTTACCTCATTATATTTGACTTCACACCTCTTATCACCAGAAGATATATAATATAGTTTATTTATTTTCTGTATCCTCCCTACTCAAAGGTATGCTCTAGAGAGTTTTTTCTATTGAATTTACTGCTGTACTGCCAGCATCCAGAATAGAATTCAGTAACGGTTACCAAATGAATAAATGAATGAATACTGGTTACATAAAAACAATTACCTTTAAAAAACAAATTAATTAATAAAGAAACTAAAGAGGCTTTTATTCTGTTTTGTTTTCTTTTTGAACAAAATGATGATATAGGAGGCCAATTTCCTCCTCCCATGGACACAGTGCTTGTACAGCTACACACAAAGCACTTCTCTCTGAGAGAAATCTGGGAACTGAGCAACTAGAGAAATCCAGATGAATGACTCCTATACATTGGGCAACAGAGACAATACCCATATCGAAACTGGTAGGAAAGGCTGAGACACTCTCATCATAAACCTCACTCCAGGCACAAAACCATACAATTAGGAGGAAAACCCAAACTCCCAGCTTCTCCCTGAGGAACAGGCAGTACAGACATCTAGTGTCCCAACCTTTAAGTCTCCCACCTGAGAAACAGTCCCCTAAAACTCCTATCTCTTATAGCCAGCATTCATGAGTCCTACAGGACTACAGCAAACAAAGAAGTTACTGATAGCATCATAAGCACTGAACACAACTATCCCCCCAGGTCTCAGGACTGAAGGAGCAGCGAAAACATCCATCTCCCAGTCTTTCCCTGGAAAGGGTTTGACTTCATACTTTACAAGCTGTTGCCTAAGGGTCTAGACACTAATTGACAACATCTAAATGATCCTACCTGGAACCTGAAAGAATCAGTGGGTGCTTACCCCACCTTCTCCATCCAGCTCACTCCAACAATAAAACCAGGTCACCATCATCTCTCCAGAAGGACCTTCTACACATGTCTTGTGCCCCACCTTTTGCAGCTACCGCCTGGGAGATGGGTCCCCAGATCACCTGGCTCTGACTGTCAACAGTGCTTGCAGTTAACAAGTCCCACTGGACTATAGCAAACAAATAAGCAGTTTGTAATGGGCTCAGGGCTCAGTGCAAGGGAGAATACAAAAAGCCTACCTTCCAGTTTCTCCCCAGAAAGTGCCTGATGGCATACTTTCCCAGATGTTGCCTGAGGGTCTGGCTTCTAATCAGCCTGTATCTAAGTGCTGGCTACAATCATCCCCTTTGGAACTTAGATGGGTCTTCTCATACCCTCAACTACTAAAAGGCATGAAGAAGGACAGTGGCTTGGACAGTCACAAAGGTTTGAGAGGCATCCAGGAGTTCAGGCTGTGCTGATTAACAGGATTCATCTCCTACACAAGAACATTCTCTCAAGACTGAAAGAGGTGCTGTTTAGCTAATGCACAAAAACCGACACAAGCATTCAAGGAAAATGAAGAAACAAGGGAATATGTTCCAAACAAGAGAACAATATAAATCTCCAGAAACCAACCTTAATGAAACAGAGAAAAGTGATTTACCTGACAGAGTTCAAAATAATGCTCAGAAAGATGCTCACAGAGGTCAGGAAAGCAATGCATGAACAAAGTGAGAATTTCAACAGAGACCGACGATATTACAAAGTACCAAACAGAAAGTACAGAGATAAAGAATAAAATAACTGAACTGAAAAATTCAATAGAAAGGTTCAACAGCAGACTACATCAAGTGGAAGAAAGAGTCAGTGAATTAGAAGACAGAGCAGTGGAATACATCCACTCAGTGAAGAAAAAAGAAAAAAGACTAAAAAAGGAGTGAAGATAGCTTAAGAGACTTATAGCGCACTAAAAAATGGGCCAATATACACATTATAAGGATCCTAGAAGACAGGGGGGACCTTATCCAAATAAATAATGGCTGAAAACTTCCCTAACCTGGGGGAAAAAAACAGACATCCAAATCTAGGCAGCCCAAGAAGTACCAAATACGATGAATCTAAAGAAATTCACATCCAGACATTATAATTAAATTGTCAAAGACAAAAACCTTAAAAGCAGCAACAGAAAAGCAACTTGTTACATACAAGGGAACCCTCATAAGACTATCAGTGGATTCTACAATAACCTTGCAGGTCAGAAGGCAGTGGGATGAGACATTCAAAGTGCTGAAAGGAAATAAAAAAGACTGCCAAACAAGAATACTCTACCCAACAAAACAGTCCTTCAGAATTGAAAGAGAAATAAAGAGTTTCCAGACAAACAAAAGCTGAAGGAATTTATCACCACTAGTCTTACAAGACATGTTAAAGGGATTTCTTCAAGCTGAAACAAAAGGATGCTAATTAGTAACATTAAAACATATGAAAGTATAAAACTCACTGGTACAGATAAATATATGGTTAAATTCAGAATACTCGAATATTGTAATGGTGGTGGGTAAATCGCTTATAACTCTGGTATAAAGATTAAAATTAAAAATATTAACACCACCTATAAATACAATAATTTGTTAATGAATACACAATATTAAAAAGATTTAAACTGTGACATCAAAAACATCAAATGTTGGAGAACAGTGTAAAAATGTAGAATCTTCTTATACCTTTGAAGTTAGGTTGTTAGGTCAGCTTAAAACAGACTATTTTAGCTATAAGATATTTTATGTAAGTCTCATGGTAACACAGTGCAAAACCTATAGTAGATACACAAAAGAGAAAGAGAAAGAAATCTCAGCATACCACTACAGAAAATCATCAAATCACAAAGGAAGAAGAACAACAGGGAAAGAAAGGAACAAAGAAATGACAAAACAACCAGAAAACAATTAACAAAACGGCAATAGTAAATCCATAGCTATCAATAATTACTTTAAATGTACACGGACTAAATTTTCCAATCAAAAGACACAAAGTGGCTAAATGGATAAAATGAACAAGACCCAACTATATGCTGCCTACAAGAGATTCACTTCAGCTTTAAGGACACAGACTGAAAGTGAAGGCATGGAAAAAGATACTCCATGCAAATGGAAACCAAAAGAAAGCAGAGGTATCTATACTTATATCAGATAAGGTAGACTTTAGGACAGAGACTAAAATAAGAGACAAAGGTCTTTATATTGATATAATGATAAAAGGGTCAGTCTAACAAGAGGATATAATATTTGTAAATATTTATGCACCCAACAGAGAAGCACCTAGATATATAAAGCAAATATTAACAGACCTGAAGGGAGAAACAGACAGCAATACAATAATAGTAGGGTACTTCAATAACCCACTTTCAACAATGGCTAGATCATCTAAACAGAAAATAATAAGGAAATATTGGACTTAAACTACATGTTAAACCAGATGGATTTAACAAACATTTACAGAACATTCATCCATCAGCAGCAAAATACACATTTCTTCTCAAGCACACATGGAACTTCCTCAGAATAAATCATGTGCCACAAAACAAGTCTTAATAAACTTAATAACACCAAAGTCATGTCAAGCATATTTTCTGACCACAATGGTATGAAACTAGAAATCAATTACAAGAAGAAAAGTAGAAAATTCACAAATATATAGAGATTAAACAACATGTTACTGAACAACCAATGTGTCAAAGAAGGAATCAAAACATAAATCAAAAAATTCTTTCAGTCAAATGAAAATGGAAATACAACGCACCTAAATTATGGGATGCAGCAAAAGCAGTTCTAAGGGCAAAGTTCATATGATGAACTCCTACATCAAGAAACAAGTAAGATCTCCAATAAACAACCTAACTTTGTACCTAAAGTAACCAGAAAAACAAGAACAAATGAAGCCCAAAGTTAGTAGAAGGAAGAAAATATCAAAGAACTG